AATTAAATATTAGATATTGAGTCATAATTTATTGTCTCCTCTAAGTCAAAAACGAGTTGTTAGGAAAATAAAATAAAATCATTATTGAATCCTAGTTAATAACAGACTGCATGTTTTTAACATTAGATCAAATTAAAGACCTAATATAATACAAGCACATGATAAATCCTAGTTAATATCATAATTTATGTTTTTTAACATTAAACCAAGTTAAAGACCTAATATAATACAAACACGTGATAAAGTTTAGTATTTGACTAACTTTATTGTTGACACCCAATTTTGATTGACCTTTAACCATTTTTAGGAATACTATTCAATTAAATACGTATTTTAAAATTTATTTAAAGTTAGAATTTTTAGTCGATTTTGCCTGGAAATTATATATTTTAGTATGTTTTACTTTATTAAATTATCGTAAAAATTATTAAAATATTTTAAAATTTAAATGATTTTCAATTATAAAAATATTTTAATATATGTAGTATTTTAATTAAATAGTAATTCCTACACTTTTCTTAAAATTATTTAAATTCTAGCCTATTCTATCATAATTTCTTTCAATTCTAGCCACTCCATTTTAAATTTTATTCCAATCGTAGCCACTTTTTCATTTCAATTCTAGCCAATTTAATTGCAATTTTAGCCATTCCAATCCTCAAACCAATTTGATTTTAATTTTTCATCTATTAATCTCATTCATCCATCTTAAAAAATAATTCCTAGATCGAATCCTAAACATTAATCTCTTATTAAATCAACGGTTGTGATTAAATCTCCTATTCTCTTTCTTCAACACCAAAAGACCCCAAAACCTAAAACATTTTTTTTCTCCTTCTCTTCCTCCCCTCTCTCCAGCCCCCCCCCCCTTCTTCTCCCTCTTCAGTCGTCCCTCTCCCCCTTCTTCTCTCCCTTCTCCTGTCGCTCTCCCTCTTCTTTTCCTTCCCTCTCCCCCTTCTTCTCTCCCTTCCCCCGTCGCTCTCCTTCTTCTTCTCCTTCCCGCTCCCCTTCGCGTCTCTTCCCTCCCTTTTCCTCTTCCCCTCTTTTGTAGGTACCACGAGGCAACGCCGCCAGTGAAGGAAACAGCAGCACCGGCGAGGACCACCATTACTGGCAGAAGCCCCCACCGGCGAGGAAGACACCGGCCAGCAGCTGCACGAGGTGGTGAACGACCAGCAGTAAGGCAGCAGAGGCAGCAACTTCAACCGGTAGTAGCACCTAAGACCACCAACATCTCCAAACCAGTAAACAAGGAGAGCTCCGAAGGAGTTATTGAAAGTTTCAAGAAGTTCAAAAGACGGATCTTTAATAGATCCGTTCGGCTACATCCCTTTTAAAGTATTATCTCGCTTTTAGCATTTTCTATTCTTCTCTTTTACCTGCAGTTCAATTTAAATTTTCATGGAAGTTTCATGTATGGTTATGTGAAAATTGATATGCATCTTGCTTAAAATGTGTTAATCTTCTGAAATTTGTTCATTGTTATTAGTTAAGTATCTTCTAGGCTGCCATCTATTTGAATGTCTTGTTAAAACTTCATTTAATCTCCCAAGATATGTTCATATGATTAAATGTTAATATGCTTTGAGTTTTATTATTGTTGGACTTTTTTGATGAACCCTCATCAAAGTTTTCTTTTATCGATCTTAGACGTAAACTTCCTTTGTTCTGTTTGATTTGATGGTTTAATTAATGGTTTGACTCATTATGCAAAATATGTCAAGGTTTCTTTAAGTGTAGTAGTCTTAACCTTATTGAGTTTATTGTGAGTAAGTTTGTCTGTTGAGTTAATGATTGCATAATTTTAGCGTTATTTGTATCTTTCTAAGAAATTATTGCTTGAATATTTCTCTTCTTCCCTTGATTTAGTATCGATTGTTAACAAACCCTTTTTTCATAAATAAACTGGTAGATTCTTGCTCAATGTGTATTAGTAATGATTTGTTTAATTGAGGAATAAAAACAAAAGTATATTAATAGTCAAATTAGTTCTCCAAGTTGACTCTTTTTTATTTAAAGGAAATTAATATTACTCTCCTTAATTTTATTTTACTTATTTATATTTGGTAATGAAATATTATTATAATTTTGATTTTGGCTATTCTGAAAAGGAAAATAATATTAATTGATCTATTTTTCCTTGTTTGTAAGTTTATTGATTTCTTACTCGCTTATTTATGTTAGAAGAATATCTTTCTAATTTTGGCTCCTCTTTATTTAAGGAAAAAATATATTACTCTCTATTAATTTATTCTTACTTGTTTATATTTGGTAAATAAAATATTTTAGAACTTTCTGATTTGGTCCTCTTTTATAATAAGGAAAATAAATATTAATTGATTCCTTAAAAATATATGTTTACCTTATTTGTTCCCCCCTCTTCTACTATATAAGAGACCCCCTTTGCATTCTTTTAACACATTCACATCTTTCATAACAAGTTCTCTCATTCACACACACATTCACTCTCATTCACAAGTTCTCTCATCACTCCTCATTCTCTCATTGCGCTCTTGCTACTCTTAAACGAAATAAGTTTTCGGTAACTTTCAAGTGCTACTTTGCTACTTTGCTTTTGTTCGAGTAAAGGTTGGATCAACTTGTTTTCATTGCTACCATTCCTAATCTGTTTAACCGGTTAGTATTCTTAAGTAGCATTTACATTATATTTTTCTTTTGTATTCATACATTTGTATAAGCTCATTGTTCTATTTCTTTTGTTATGTATAAGTTGTTAAATAATTGCATATGTGTTTCTTCTTGTCTAAAATAATTTGATTACTTGTGTAGTTATGTGATTGCTTTGACAGGTCTCAAACTTGAAGTTCAAGTTAAAGAAGAGAGATCATTTGTCTAATTCGTATTTGAATATATTCCTTATGTATTTATTTTTTTTTTTTGTAATATTCGTATAACAGTGAAGCTCTCATATATGATATAAGATTTGGGGGATTGACTATAAGGGGAGGGGGATATATATATATATATATATGCTAATTGTTTTCTTTGCTTATTATGTTTTTTTACTATGTGATTGATATAAATTTTCCGTCTATTACTAATGTAATTAGAATAGGCAACATATTGGAATCACCCAAATAATCTATTTAAAATCAATTATTTGTTTGTCTTGTTTAATTAGTTTGAACCAATGGGAGCTTGTAATATTAATAAAGTTAGTAATCTAGATCTTAGCTTTTATATTTTAATAATTTTTAGCATGCCAATGAACTTAACAAGAGAAAGCGAACCTTGTAAAAGTATCGATGTTATGATTGTTAATGTAAACCTTATTTATTTCCACATGTTCACTTAGAAATCATGTTTGTAGGTTTGTAAATAAATTTTTTAGCATACCCACTCCAATAAAATTTGTTGTGCATACTTTTGTCTCCTTTTAAATTAGCTAATATTATTAATTAGTAATTTTATTTGTCCTTTTGAAGATTTTCGCACTTGATGCAATATGTTGTTTTCTTAAAATAATAATAAAACAAAATAAAATCTTTTCATGCATTTAACAAATTATTTGGCTTTTAAATATATTTCATGGTAAAATCTTTGCAATTAATAAATTTACTACATTAATCTTCTACTAGTTTTCTTTTTACAAAATTTTTTGCAATTTTTTTCAAAAGTCATTGTTCAATACTCCTTTAAAATTCTGGATTGATTATGACATTGTTTACTTTTAAAAATAAATTATAAGCACTATCTCCTAACCTATCGTTAGTGGGAGAGTCAAAGAAATTACGAGGTCTAGTTCCAATTTTTAAATTAAACCGACGCGTCCCCGGAAGTACCACTTACCCATGATTTTAAAAGGAATTATGTGTATTTATATGTAAATATTCATGTGCCTATATGCAAACTAAATCTTTTAAATCATTTTCAAAAATATAAACTATTGTTATTTTTTCTAAGACCGACCTCAAATCAAAATTATTTTTATGGTGGAGGAGCGCGATTAACAATATCGTGGCATCATCCCTATAAAGAAACAAACATTTTTTTAATAAAAAGATTTCTATTCAAAATTTGCTCATTTTTTCAAACTTTATTCTCGCACGTATTATTCTTGTTTGGTGTGACATAATAAAATCGAGCTATCTTTTATATCTTTTGTGCATATTATGTCTTTTGTTTATCTCTCTATTAATTGCTTAATATTTGCAATATTTGTTTATCACATAGGTCGTATACTCTAATAAAAAATAATTGAAGTAATCTTAATTGTTTAATAATTTATTTGGGGTAACTTAAAATAAAAAAAAATAAATTATTGGCTTATTTATTTGTCTATTTTTGTCTCCTCGCTTATCTTTATCTAATTGATTAGTATTTATTGTGTTTGTTACTTCTATCACCTTTTAGCATGCTTAATATTAATTGAAATAATAACATAAGATATTTGTTCGATTTGTTCATAACATGGTTTCATATGTTTAAATAAATAAAAATAAACTTGATTATTTATTTATTGCTATCATCTAGCCTTGCATGTTTAAATTAATAAAAATGATAAAATAGTCTTAATTGTTTTATATTTGTTATCACTTAGCAAGCTTAAATAAACTAATAAATGAAGTGACCTTGATTGTTACTTGTAACTCCCACATAGATTGCATGAGATACGGCCGGGACCCACATTTGTGGACCCGAGAGATGCCTAACACCTTCCCCTCGAGGTAATTTGAACCCTTACTCTAATCTCTGGCTCGTTGACCTTAGCTAGACTTAGTTAGGTTAGATAGGTGACCTAACGCGCCTTAATTCGTTAGGTGGCGACTCCAAACTCAAAATCCCAAAAGAGTTGTTAGGTCGTGCACAAAATCCATTTTTTGCGAAAATAGGGTGCGACATCTATCATATTAGAATCATATAAATAAATCAATGAAAAATATATATTATTTAATTAAGAATTAAGGAACAAGCTAATGAACGACTAAACTAATTTAAAATACTAATACTCATGCAAACAACTACTATTACATGAAATTTATTAATAAATACTACCCAAAAAAAATCACTCTTCCATGTTCACAGAACCATCACCAATTAAGTGATCTATTTTTCCTTCAGGATGTGCGAAGAAATCTGCTACATCCAAGTGCGTGATGTCAACTTGATTTTCAGAGATAAAATTTGTCTCAAGATTTTTCTCTTTCTTCTTTAGTGATTCTTGATAAAGCTCAACCAAGTGTTTGGGAGTACGACAATCACGTGCATAATGACCTCTTCCACCACATCAAAAACAATCTTCCCTAGTTGCTTCACGTTTCTCATCCTTTATTTTTTCCTTTTTATTTGATGAATGATTAATGCCAGGAATAGAATTACGTTCTTGACCATAATCACGACCACGATCACGATTAGGACCGCGACCTTTTTCACACCTAGCATGGTGGGTGTACGCCTCATTCACTTCAGGAAGTGGTTCAGATCCAATAGGTCGATTCTCATGATTTTTCAATAATAAATCATTATTTTGTTCGGCCACAAGAAGATGAGAAATTAGTTCAGAATACTTTTTGAAACCTTTCTCTCGATATTGTTGCTGCAAGAGCACAATCGAGGCATGGAAAGTGGAGAACGTCTTTTCCATCATATCAATCTCACTAACCGTTTCTCCACATAACTTCAATTGAGAAGTGATTCTGAACATGGCAGAATTGTACTCATGTATAGACTTAAAGTCTTGTAGCTTTAGATGCATCCAATCATATCGTGCCTTTGGATGTATGAACATCTTCAAGTGGTTAAATCTTTCTTTTAGGTTTTTCCACAAAACAAGTGGATCCTTAACTGTCAGATATTCAATTTTCAGAATCTCGTCAAGATGATTACGCAAGAATATCATTGCTCGTGCACAGATTTGGTTTGATGCCTTATTTTCTTCTTTTATGGTGTCTCCAAGACCCATTGCATCAAGGTGGATTTCAGCATCCAACACCCATGAGAAGTAGTTCCTGCCCGAACTTTGAAGGGCAGTGAACTCTAGTTTTGTAAGATTGACTATTAAAATTAAAAACAAAAGAATAAATAATACCTTTATTAATTCTTCAAATCTAACCTTTAGTTTTGAGAAATTCGAGTCTTGTGCTGATAACGTGTTATAAAACTATAGAATAAGAAAAAGAAACTAGAGAGAAAAGAAAAGAATACTTTTTATTTCTCTTGATGAATGAATTTACAAAATAGGAACACTCTATTTGTAAGAGAAATCTAACTTGGTCCACAAGCTTTAATCATATCCTAAAAAAGTCTCCACATGATAGACATTTACTATTATACAAATACTTTATAACAATTTTTTTTGACATATATATTTAATATAATTTTAATTTAGAACACAAAATTGAAAAATCATATTTATATTCTTAAACTTTTGCCAAGTCAAACTAGATTTTTTCTAAAATATATATGGAGAACAACTTTAGTAGTAAGAAAAAACTACTTTGTTTTATTTGGACTTTTGATTGAGAGTCCAATGTAAAACTACGCTAACTTCTTCATATTTTCCCAAAAAGAAAGTGTTTTAATTGGGCAAGAAAAATTGTAAAATTTCAATTTTCGTAATATTTGGATAACCATCAACCTAATTCCTACCTTACCAGTATGGAAGAAATATTAATTCTATACCTGAACAAATTATAATCCTTAAATTAAGAATCCTAATTCTTAAAAAATTAAATAACAATTTGAGAAAAGATGATTTTTTCTAAAACAAAACCTTTTAAAAGGACAAACGGTTCATTTTTTAATAGTATAAAATTTTTTAATCAAGATTCTACTTTTGTGATTTTTTTATTTGTTCAAAAGAAAAAAAAAGTATAATAGGAAAACCCCCTAAAATGCCCTTGACCAAGAGAGGTCCCGAGTTCAACTCTCTATTTTAGTTAGAGCAATAGATGGAGCATGAAAATATGACAAAGTCAGTTAGGTTTTTGAAGTAGTACTCCATATTTAGGTATTTAAGATTGTTGAGTACAAGTCATATTTTTATTCATATCACCCAAAGACAATGGTGAGGCAGAGGATTAATCGGGATAGTGGAAGTGTGGTTCTAGTAGCTAAGAGGTCAAATTATGTGATTTTGGCTTTGTTTGTGGCAGCTGTATATGGGAGTTGGTTTGTATATGAACAGCAGTACCTCAATCTGCCTACACCACTTGGAGCTCAACATGTTGGTAAAAGGGGTTTTTCTGAGCATGAAGCTATTCAGCATGTTATAGCCTTAACTCAATTCGGTCCACATCCTGTTGGTTCACCTGCACTTAATCATGCCTTGCAGTATGTGTTGCAAGCCGCAGAAAATATTAAGGAAACAGCTCATTGGGAAGTTGATGTAGAATTAGATCTTTTTCATGCTAAATCTGGTGCTAATCATATGGTTGGTGGACTTTTCAAAGGGAAAACTCTGGTTTATTCTGATCTCAATCATATTATATTAAGGATTTCGCCAAAATATGCTCCTGAAGCAACAGAAAATGCTATTCTTGTATCTTCCCACATTGATACTGTGTTTTCCGCGTATGTTTCTCTATTTCATACTGTTGTCTTCAAAATATATTTGTATTTTTACCTACCTGTTATAATTGACACTAGCGTATGCTACAAATGTTGTTCAGAATCCAGAATATTGTTGATGTTAAGTCTATTTTTTTCTTAATTTAATCAGTTTGAATGCTAATTCAATATTTATTTGCTTGCACTTCTCATTCTAAAGCTATGAGCTCTACCTCATTATGTTTCAAATTATAATCTAGAAAGAAGTTCTGATTTATTCATAGCATAACATTCAAGTGTATTGATACAAGTTCCTCCGAGAAGTAGATATTCTGACCCAAGTAGATGTTCAAATAAAAATATAAAACACTTTTGGTTTAGCAGTCGGGGGAGGGGGGGGGGGATGATGACCATCTCATACAGTGTCTGCTAGCTTTGAGGGGAAATCTTTGGATTTTTTTTTTGGGTGATACCCATGTATTGTGAAAGAGGTCATGTTCAACTGGTACTGTGGAAGACAGAGAAGATACAGGACACGGAAGCTTGTGCCGCTAGCTTTTATGTGTGTCATTTGGAGAGAGAGAAATATGTAAGTGCTTGAGGGTGTAGAGATGAGTTTCGTACAACTG